GGGGGGGGGGGGGGGGTTTCTTGTTTATGAGGTTAACATTATGCTGGCTTGGAGATGTGGGGTCCCGTTATCGGGACTCCTAGCCGAGCCTCTTCCAAAATGGTCCTGTTGGCATGCCCTCGGACTCGCAAGCTACACGTCTACGAGGGGTCAATGACGATTCAACAGCAAGGCGTCTGCCGTGTGAAAATACGATGGGAGCTTCTCACGTTTAGGTATGCTGTAGATGGTTTGAGATGTTCAGGGCTGTTCCGTGCCCTTCAAAACAATGAAAGCAAGGACGTTGGCATTGCGCACATACCCGGACATGACCATGCTCCGTATTCCTCTGATGCCAAATAGAACTCACACTTATCTCGATCTACAAGGTCCTGCAACTGACACCTAATGCGAAAGGCGAGTCTGCAATACTGCTGCGAAGGTGAACGATGCAATCGTTGAGGCTTCTAATTGCCCAGCGCCAGAACGAGGGGCATGAAATGTGATGTGACGTTTAGTGGGCTATATTGAGAACTATACAGTCAATGTTTCCCAGACAAATACTGGGTACTGGCTCCTTGTTAGGGAGTATATCAGGGACTCTACTAAAATACAAATGGGACCCCTCTGTTTCGGGTCCCTTCATCAGCCGAATATTGACAGCAGCTCGCAGATTATATGATCTTGTTCAAGAGGTCATAAGCCCTTGTCCAATCTTGTTCTAAAACATAGCCACTCACAGGCTTTAGCTCCAAAGTATGAAAAGGAGGCAGCCAACCCAAACCGTCTTAATGTAAATGGAATTATTAGCCAAAGCTGCCATGGCTACTGCCATAACTTCACAAACAGACGATCGCGTGTACGACCACCAATACTCCCGTTCGTATGGCGTAGCAGTAGCCTTACACCTGTGGGAGCCCTAAATCGCGAACAACAAACGTGGGCCCCGGACTGGGTGTCGGATGTCTCCGGAGATGTCGAGGTTCATGAGAGCAAAACGCAAACTCTTCCTGCAAAGACACTAGAAATTGATCGTGCTTTGGCCTGGATGTCTTCTGAAAGGAGCATCATCATCATCCGATCTTCGTCATGTTTTCCGGTAGACGTTTGGGTGTTGAAGGGCGCCAGATTTGTAACCAGCTCACATTTTGTGTGAGAGGTTGCTGAAGTCCTGAGGACTCATCGTAGTTTCGAGATGTCTTGCTCAGAAACTGTGCGGTACGAAGACCCGCAGAATTGCACATCAATTGCTGCTTTGGCGAGCGATATGGCGTAAATGCTGTAAACTTGATCTAGTCGACAGCCCTGCGACAACAGAAGCCCCTCTATGAAGTGAGCTGTTGCAGGCCAGATTCCAACAATCGAAGGTTTCCTTTGCTATCCTGACCATGTCTAACCAAGGGGCCTTCCCACTCATCAAAGAGCGCTGCCTTAACCGATTGTTGCGGGAGTCTGCGCATCAGCGAGGATGCAACATAGTTTGAAATCCCAGCAGGAATCCTCAGGAGTCATGCCACGGTTCTGGAATCTACCCTAAACTCAAACTGACACTATCTATCTGCCAAGCCTGAATTGTAAATGGCTCAAACAGCCCTACACGTTGGATGGCCCGAAACTGCTTGTCCTTGCAGCTTCTCGATCAGGCCCCTTAGCGAAGATGTGGCCGAACTGGGAGTCTGCGAACTCGTGGATTCCACCCTGCTCCAAACCTACTTGGTCCACGTTTTAGGTGGGCTTGAGAGCTAGTACCTAGATGACAGTCTTGCAGTCTTAGTCATAATGGTATGGATGTCAATGGCACGTCGACCTAGTCAAACTAGTCGTCTCAGTTATTATTGATTCCAAGATGGGAGGGGAAAGAGTCATGAACTAAAATCCAGTCTTGCGGGGCAGGGGAACACTTCAGTATGAGGGAGATGAAAACCGCCTAGTCTAATCCGTTAACCGCAAAGCCCTGAGCACACTTCTTTGGCTGACACCAAAGAACATCAAAATTTGCGCGGAGCTCTCTCTAACGACATACTCTCACTATGCTTTGTCATCTTTATTTCGTTTTGGCACCCGCACGGGGTGGAGTGGGATTCTGCGCTGGCATGCTGTCGGGACCAAAGTAATCCCTAAGAAGGCCAAATAAGTCACGGCCATCTGTCGTTCTCGTCAGAGGTGAGCTCCACGTGCACAGCTTGCTAGTGGGTTCCTCAAACTCTGCTGCGGCGACGACTGTGCCTTCTTCTATCCTGATATGAGCTTCAGTAACTCGAAGCTGACTGCCAATGAGAGCTTTGTAGATAGGGTGATCTGCGCCTGACAAGGGCAACCAATTACACATGCTAAAATTCCGATATTCCCAGCGCGCACTACTGTATTATGACAGCATCCACAATGGGATGCGACCTTAACTAAGAATCCTCTAGC